GTCCGTCCCCTCTCCAAGGCTTAGTCCTGGGTGAGCAAACCAGCCCTTCTGGCGGAGCTGCTGGACCAGCTGCACCACTTGCGTCAGTACTCTCCTATCGTACCAACCGAGTTGAAGTAAACCGTCGACCGCTGGGGTCCCCATCCCCTACCCAACATTCAGCATACGGTCCCAGCCGAAACGCCGAAAGGCTGGTTGTGCTACCATGCTGGGAACACAGAAAAATGAAGGAATTTTCAAATACCAGCACGTACGTTGTATCGTGCCATTGCCGCAACGAGCGGCCACTAACGTGCAATTCGTGGCCCGATGCTACCGTGGGTTCCATATGATCCTCCGCGCGTATCAGGTATACAACGATGTCCTTCATTCCTTTCGTTCAGAGCTTTCGTGAAGAAGTCTGACCATCGGGCCGGCGGTCGTCCAGGTGTTCGTTTGACGTCCCGAGGGATCCAGTCGGTAACCGCTCTGGTCCAACGGTCATCGCAAAATCGCATGACGTGTCCGGCCCACCTTATCTTCGATTCCTTGGCGAAACGGCAGCATCCCTGATCTTCGATCGTTGGCGTAGTTCCGAACTCCACTTGCGTGTAATATGGTTTACTCCCCTCCAATCGTCCTCCGTCACGCACCTGCGTTGGACTAACGTCTGAACCGCAGCTCAGCCAGCTAGCCGCAACGAGTCGCATAGCTTTGAGCTTCCGAATAGGCGTAGGCAGGGACTGCGGTTTGCCTCAAGGTAGTCTGACTGATTATACGACAACAAAAAGGAGGACGTTCGACATCGTTTGACATGTGCTGCTGCTGCAATGCTCCCATCCCTTGCAAAAGCGTTTATGCGTCTAGAACAGAACGCGCCGAGGATGAAGAAACTAGCTCATAAAAACAATGACATTTGGAGGAGTTTCCTCCCCCATTTTCCAGCGGGGAGGGATAGTATGTGGTCAGAGCATCCGCTCAGATGTTGACCGCGCCCATTCCGCGCATCTGCCGCACATCGACGGCAAAAACACGCGCGACGTTTTGCAGTGACTTTTGAGGGCATTTTGCAATGGTTTTTAAGATCTTGAGTTCCGAGTGATATCATAAGGGTGTAGGTGAAAAAGGGGTGCTAACTTAGTTGGGGGGGGGGGGCCACGCGGCGGCGCGGCAGTTTGCTCACCTGGGCTCTCTCGAACGAGACAGTGTAAACTCGAACATTCCAGCTTTTCACGCATGTCAAGTGACTGCCCTCACCCCCCACCCCCCTAGACTGGCTACACTCCCCCTGGCCCACGGATTTCCGAAGCCCTGCCGAGGCGAGCAGCACGTGCCGCGCCTAGTGACCGGCTGCCGCGCGTCCCCCAATAAATTAGGCACCGGTCAAAGAGTTGAAGTTTGGCCACAATAACTGTTTTTTGTTTTGAAAATTCATTGGGAAAGGGATTGCTAGATCCACTCTGAGATGTTCTTTGAAGCAACTTCTCGGCTTTTTTGCTTATTTCGTTATTTTATAAATTTACCAACCCTCTAAAAGATAAGAAAGCGGAAAGAATGTTCGCCACATTTGTGCATGAAAAGCCGTTTGGGCAATAGCCGGTACTTTAAACGGAGACTTTTTTGAGGGATATGCGTTTCGAATGGCAAGGCTATTGTGCTTCACATGTACATTTTTCTGGTTGCAAAGCTGTAGAAACTCGTTCTTCAAGCTTTCATCGCCTCTTTAACCATTTTATTGTACCAACCGCAAAAAGGGAAATTTCCCTTAATTACAGTTTATTTCTGAAAATTCTCTCATTTCTTTGCGATGACCGCAATTCTGAATGAGATTTGGACCCCCAATCAGGGAAAACACTTTAAGATAGTTGTAGTATAAACAATATTAAATTTTCGAGTTAGTCTGTTCTACTGGGGTGGGCAGCAATCGAATATTCCCTAATCGCTAGGCGTCATTCATGGCAACTGTTTGTCCAAGTTTGCCCTATCGCCCAACTCTAGCATCATACTGCCACGACTGATGAAAAAAACTATCATCGTCGCACTGTAAAGCGAGAGGAAGTCGAATGAAAGAGTGTTTGGCGACATGCTCGGATCATTTTGATATCTTTTGATTCTTTGATTAGGGAAGTTTTTGGTTCCACTTCTGCTCTGTTGATTGGTTTCCGCGCAGTGTGAATCTCTTTTTTGGAGAGGCGGTACGTGACCCCCCTTTGTATGTGTTTTGTAGAATAGTTTCTTTACTTCTCCCACATTTTGTTTTTGGGGGCTAGTCAATTTGGGTAGCAAATATTTGAAAATTTGAAAAGCTTGTAGAGATTTTATCTCTGCGCTACCTCGGGGAGTGTTTCATACGTCCCCCAATAAGGGAGACGAAAATGAAGCTAGCTCTTTTCATTCACTTTCAACTTTCCGGAATCTTACCCAACCATTTCCGAATTTCGGACATTCTTCCTTTCATTGCGAACTTTTACATTCTGAAATTTTGGCGCTGATGGATTTTCAACATTTGGTACCACATTTTTATTATTAATTCATTCAACCGAGCAAACTTGTGTAGCTGTTAATTCAATTCAATTTTGTCCTTCTCTTGGTCTTTAGTTTCGATGGGAAACGGCCTGCAAGCTAGGCAGAGTGCATCTGAGTGTAATTTTAAATTTAGTTTTTGTTGCACTTGATGAATCCAATAAATAATTTCGCCGTGGGCAGTTTAAAATTCCTCCAGTCAGTGAACGCCCCGATGCTCTCCGTCGGCTGCGGTTCTGTTAAGTTCATTTTCCTATCTAAGCTTCATGTTTAGGGTGACTTTTGTACATGAGTAGCCCTGCTCGATTGACACGGCAATTTCACAATGGCGACGAATTCACGATTGCAAAGATCTGACAGTAGGGAATCTATTTTATCCCTGACTTCATGTGTCAGCGGTGTCGGAACGTGGCAGGTATTTTTTAGAGTACAATTGTGTAATTTTCATTTTACATTCATACAGTTTGTTCCATTCATTCATACGTGGAAAGCTCTTTACATCCATTTGTTATGTCGTAACATTCCCTTTATGGCCATCATCATAACTTTTTTTCCTTTTTTTTCTATCAGTTTTCAACCAAAGCGCTTCCAAGGGACACAAAAATCTGTTCTTTGGTACCGCTTGACTATCAAAAACCACCGCAAAGTGTGATGGCAATCACTTCTTTGTTAATGATGGCATATTTGATGAAAATTTACGCCGATAACCTAAGTCTTCCACGGAATCCGCGCTGTGTGATCAACTGCCAAAAGGACCGCTTTGAGAGGTAGCACCGCTGCTAGTTTACTATTCGAGCTATTATTATTGCAGATGGGGGTGGCGAATGGGTGGAGCCCCGCATCGGATTTGCGCGGCTCTTAAAAACTAATCCATCTCAACTTTCCTTTATATTGCGTCTTGTAGATTGCAGATCATCTTGAATTTGAAAAACACACCCTTGAACCCGCTACTCATTGCATAGACTTAAAACGCATCTGAAAATCTCTACTTTTGAATTGAACTCTCAGAGGAACTGACTTATCCTCACTGTAGTAGTCCTTATCCTGCAAGCCAAGGTGTCCTACTCAATGCGACGTCGCCTTGGAAACGGAAGGCTAAAGGTGAGCTTTCTCATCGAATTAGATTCTAATCCAGTAAAAGGTGAGTTTCCAGGCTAAAACTGTATGTTTGTGTTAAAGAGATGAAAGGGATGAGTCTTGAAATTTAAGAAGCATCATTCTCGATATTCACCTACTTCCCAAGGGGCGGACACATTACCACTGGAACAAGGGGAGCGGCAGCAGAAATGTCGTCGCGGAGTGGCGCCGTCGCCGCGCGGGTGGGCCACTTGCTGCCGATCGTTTTGTGGTTTTGGAGAAGTGCACGCCAACGCGGTCATGTCCTTATTAGGACTGGCGCGCAATAATTGAGTTTGTCATTGGAGCAACAGATTTGCTGCAGTCCACATTTACTCTTTGGACCCTGTCCCATCAACTTCAAAAGTCTGTGATGCGAATACCAGTTTCCGTTTCTCGTTTTCTTTCTTCCTTTCCCATCTATATGCTGCTCTGCCGGTTTGTCTGACTGCATCCTGAAAATATTTCAGCGGAGCTAATAATCATTGAAGCTTTCTGTAGGGTGGTTTTGAAACTGACTACATACATTGATAACTCTTTATAAGGCAAGTGTCAGACTCCATTCTGGCACCGTGCTACCCATGTTGCCGTCATCTCCGTCATTTGCAGCGTGCGAGACGCGTTTTATGCATGTCGCTCGCTTCACGTGTTGTTTGCAATGATATGTGCGTGCGTGTGTGTGTGGGGGGGGGGAGGAAGGAGGGAGGGACGACGACTCAGGCGGCATGATGCTAGATCCGCAAGCGCGAATTGCGAACTCTGACACCTGCCTAACGATGAAGCGCTCCCTGAAATCATTCATTTCGTTGTTCACACTCCCACCTCCTTCCAGTCATTTGGCCACTGACTGATGGGGCGATTGTGCCTTGTGACTATACAAACATTTTGAGGGCCAACTGCGAGGTATGTCTATAAGTAGGTCTGTCCCACTGAACGAGTTTGCTGCCAACTACCTGACTCAGAGAGAAGTTGTGAAGTTTCAGATGGCTTAGTGATATTTTCTCTGTATAGGTGCATCGGCGCAAGCTATTTCTTAAAGCAGCGTGAACTAAGGGAACATTTCTTTTCAATACCATGTTCGGTCGGCTCAGTAGAAGGGGAGGGGGTGGATTTATCATAGCTGCAGTTTGCTTCTCATTCTTGAAGCCACTTTCTTGTTAGCGCCACCTTCCCGTACTTAATTAGATTCGGTTTGTAGTCGGGGGGAAACAACTCGGCGTTGGAGTTTTCGAACGAAGCTTCAAACCTTTCTGTTGAAGCTGCTTTTAGCCCTAGCGAAAAAGGTTCCCCGCTGCGAAACGCGAAAGTCACTTTCTGTCCTAGTGAACCACACTCGTTGTGGACGCATCATGTACAAAACATTCACTAATAAACATTTATTATCAACAAAAAATTTTGACAGTTTCACTGCATGCCGGGCTTTTACATTTTATCTCTAGTGGTCTACAAACAACAGTAACGTTTCCAATAGTCAGCAATGTGGGAACCAACGTGGCGGTGTTGGAGAAATCAGTCAGAGCGGTTTGGAATTTGATTCCCATGCGGGACATGTTGTAGAAATACGAACTAAGAACGACTGAGCGGACCTAAACATTGGATCGGATAAAAAACGACTTCCCAACAATCTGAGACAAAGGGGGTTCAATAGTGCGATTACACCTCGACGGAAGGCGGAAAATTAGTAAAAGACTAAGGAGGATAGAACATTCCAAAGAATTAATTCCGTTTTAGACACACACGAAACCAATGATCTGGCTAAAAGAAGATAAGAGTATCTTCAGGAGTTCAAGCAGTCATTGAGTCAGCTAGCAATGCAAAAGGACCGTGTGCAAATAGATCAAGGGGAGTGCTACATCCCCATCGGTTTCTTACCTTTTCTGGAAGAGAAGCGAGTAGAACTTATTAAAACTATGAACCTAAATGTACACGCAAAGTCAATTACATTTTCCAGTCAAGGAATGGAACTTCCTCTTATGGGGGCATAAGTGCTACGGCTATCAGTCTCGCGATTCCACGCGTGAGCGATCTACAATGACCAAAAACTAAATGTTCTGTTTGAAACTTACCTACAATCTTGCCAGATCGCATTTTGTTGTAGCAATCTGAATGACAAAGTTCATTATAAGTACAACCGTAGGAGAGCAAGTAAACAGGGACCGGTAGTGCCAGTGCTTTTTCCCCATAGTTCACTCAGATACTTCGTTGTACCTCCCTTATTCAATTCGAAGAGATCTCCGGGCTGAAAATAAAAAATGTATATGAATGACCATTACGAAAACCAAAAATATCACACGCACGCATCGTCCTCAATTTGTTCAACTAATTTCCATACCATTCCAGAACTGAGATGCTGATCTCCCATGCGACGGGATTAAACCACCACAGAGTAAGGCGATTGAAAAAGGAGCTATCTAATTCAGCGGAGCCTCGTTAAGCCATGTTACCACAGAAACCACATGAAAACCATGAGCATCTACACAATACAAATACATAACCGCTTCTCCGTTGGATCACGCGGATGAGCCCAGCACATAACGAAAACATAAATGATAACAGCTGCGTACCATACGTAGTATGAAACACATTGCGCAGACGACAAATAAGATGAATCCTATAAAGACGTGGGTCTCCTTCTACATTTATTGACTACAAGGTACAGTCCCAAGCTTCTGCTGACAATCAGCTGGTAGTAAGTGTGATCAGCAAGAGTCACTAATTGCGAAAGCTGTCTTACTGACAACAAATTAAATGGCTATATACAAGGTAGCTTGTAAAAGAAACTGGATAAACTCGAGATTGGATTAAGAAATTCAATTGCGATTCGGGGTAATAACTATACACATTAAGGGTCTACACAGAAGGGAAGAAACACAAATGAATACTTCGGGGATGAGGGACGAAGAATGAGCCCAAGGAAAACCACCAGTGTACAGGCACAGGAAGAAAAAAATGGAAGTGGCAAGAAGGGTGAAACTCCAGTTCAGGGGAGGGGGCACACCATTGTACTCTCCAATACTAATGAAAAGGATAAAAGTTTGACCCATAATAGATTTATTTGAGATTACTTCTGATAAGAAGTGGTGTAATTTTTGGAAGTCCCCTTAAGGTGTTTCCAGATTTCGGCCTGCTGTGTTCCACCGGAAATGGTCATGGACTAGGGCATGGACACCTTCCCTACGCGCAAGTGTAGGAGCCCAGGGTGGACGATCATATGCCACAAGTTGCAAAGGATCTGAGCAGGATTTGCATGACGTGGGATATACACAGGTCCTTAACAAAGTGCAGATGAAATGAGTCATTTACCTAATATCTTATCGATAAGGTTGAAGTCCAGAGGAGTACTCTCTCGTACTATGGAAAGATAACAGGCAACACGACCCCCTCCCGATCCGGGAAGGTTCACTGACGGCAGAAGAATCGGAGAAAATCCCGGAGAACCAGATGTAACGCAGTGATCATTGATGAGGACATTCTTACTGGTGTATCTAACCAATAAGTCAGTAAAAACCCGTCAGCTGCCTTGTCTAACATTTTGATAAAATTGCGATCCACTGCAAACGGCAATCAAAACTGCTGACAGATGTAGGACGCCCGAAGTAACCATTCCCCACTCCTCCCGCAAATAGTGAGTATAAGTTACGAATCCCTGAATTAGCAGTTCGCATGTGAAAAACTAAGAAAAAAATTGAGTTGAGGTAATCAGATCAACACAGCAAAAAAAAACGAAAGTTACACTTAGTAGGAACTGGATATAGTATGTCCGAGGGTGAAAAAGAAGTGCTAGAGAATATCGTATGAAACACAATAAACAGCGATAATTATGCACCTTGGTATGAAGAATGATGCAGAAGAAAAGAAGGTGGGAATTGACTCTCGCAAATGTCACGGGGAGCAGTGGGTTTAGCGTCCAGGTGGAGCAATGCAAACCAGAAATGCAAGTGAAGCCCAGTGGGCTATAGTGGGCGTCTCCGAATTCAAAGATCCAATATCTAACGCTCAGACCTCGTCCACTATATTCGCGGCGTCGCGGCCCGAACTCAAGCGCGGGAGCCCTCCACCCCCCCCCCCCCTGCCCCCCTCGCCCCCCCGCCCCCGGTCTCCGGACGATTCTGTTTGCTAACGCACCCGCAGGAAAAATTATAGAACAAGCAAAATAAAAAAGCGCAAACAGCAAGCGTTCTCATGTTGAGCCACAACGAGTGGTACTTACTCTGAGGTCAACCTCCTACCTGCTCAATATGTTTTTAGAGCTTATATTGAATTTTCAATAATTTTTCATTTAAATACGTCTTGTCCTGTGTACATATTTAATTTTTCACTTAAATGTGCCTTCTCCGCTGTAAGTCTCTCACATTGAGAAAGCCCCGTGCGAGGGAGTATTGATGATGCGAGACGCATATTTCAGGTCGGTGATCGTGCCCGAATCGATCAACGCAGTGGTACAGTAGCATACGTGGGCCCAACTAAATTTGCTCCCGGCGAATGGATCGGACTTGTGCTGGATGAGCCGTTAGGCAAGAATGATGGATCTGTTCAACGACCGATATTTTTCGTTGAGTCCATAAATTCACTTTTTACGTTTGCTACGCTTATGCCTGTTTTCATCACTTACATCTCGCTCTCTAAAATTGTGCTCTAGCTCCATAACTGGATCTCCCCACCCGTTGGGTGCAACATTTGCGTCTTGTCTTGAAACTTCCTGCCCCATAACGAATCGTTTGTTCACGACTCCAGAACATGGCATCTGCTGTGGGTAGGTCTAGCGAAAGTAGGATTCCTATGAAGACACTACAACGTTTTTTGCAGTTTCCCGCGTTGCTAGATACTCAATTCCACGGTCCCCTGATTTGATTCGAGTACTTACTGATCACAGCCTTTGAGCAGTTGCGCAAGCCTCACTTCATAATATAGTATTGGCAAATCTGCCATTTCAACTCGCTCGCGGTGATAATTGGGACTAGACGGTTGTGCATTAGTCTAGGATAAGCCATCTACCCAACAACCGCATGGTCATGCGATTGTGCGCTAGCGCCATTGCTGGAATAGCAAATGGTAGCGCATAGAAAGAACTGTACATATATGTATGAATCAACAGTGCCATCGTGCAATTTTGGCATCGCCTGGCAGCTCTATTGGGTCTATTGAAGCGTTTTCTGAAGTGATATTTTATTATTGAAAACTGCCTTTGTTCCATTAGTTCTGTCCTATTTGGATGGGAGTAAATGATACGTCACGTCATTTACCATAAATAAGTAATATCAGGTATAATTAGTGTTTGCATGCAACTCCATCTTACACCTTCGACATACACTAAATCTTTCATGCTTCGTTATGCAGTCCCATTTAACGAATTTCTCTACCATTTTCTCTCTTTCCTATTTCATTTCGCTCAAAATTTTTCTTATTTCGAACCAACCTTTTAACGATTTCGATAGATGGCAATCATTCATCTATGTATGAACAATCTATTCTCTCATATCTTAGTTTCCAAACCTTGTCCTTTACTTTCCTTAATCAATAATTCCACGCCTAATTATATACGTGCATTAGAGTTGTTCTCGATAATTGACTCTTTCTTCGCAGAATGTATCTGTTTATATCTAGTTACTTGTGCAGTTTACCTGTGCTACCTACCAGCTGTCGTTTCTTCCTTCTTACTATTTCACTGAGACTCGTGCTTCAGCGGGCTTTTTTTATAGCCAAAGAATGCCTTTTTCCACATGTAGACTTTTGGAATAGCTTCTTTTCATGGTTTTGCTTTTTTTTTTCAAAAACCAATCGGTGGCTCATTGGGTAGAAATCTGAGAAATTTCGTGGTTTTTCGCATATTTCACCCATTGAATAGGCCTGTTCAGAGCTCTCCAAAATGCTTGCGTTGTAGGTGGAGCACCTGATGCTGTTAAAAAACTGAACTATGTTCCTAACATCATCTGCTCTGGAACATTTATCAAGTTGCTGTAACTCTGAAACCTGCCCTCTTGATCTCTCCAAAATTCTTCCATTAGAATCAGGTCATAGTTCGCAAAATGTGATTACTTTCATTTCAGTGCACTCCAGATCACGGTTTGTTCTGCAAGTCCAGCAAACTGGATCGAATATTGTTGTCACCTGCGCGGTTTAAATCACCGACTCCTGGAGAGAATGATGCCAAAAGTCCTTATGCTGCTGAATATGGGTAAGGTCCTTGCCTAAGTCTTCACTTATGCTTACAAATGTTCGTTAAGAAAAATCGTTTTAGTTTTACAAAACTTTACTGATCCCTAAAGGGCTTCTCGTTGTGGAAAAAAGCATGACATATTCTCAGGAAGCTTCCCACTACTACTGCTGCTCTGTTCCCTTTTTTCCTCTTTATCTTCATTGTTAGTGGACATATCACCCGCGAAAGTGGCTCTCGTGTGAGATGATCTGTATAGGGTGTTTTATAGTATTTTACACTTTCGGCTCGAGTTCGAGATGCGAAACGCAGCATGTTGTAAGGCATAGGATTCTCGTACAGGAAGGAGAAAGGGGTTGCAGTGCGTGATGTCACGAAAGGCACGAAAAGGGCTTTCCACCATTTCACTTGAGTAGCAGTTAAAGTGGGCGAGAGACGAACAGTTCATGATTTCACTTGTGTGGGCCATACATTTTCCACCAGCCTCCTAACATTTCGTTCATTTGCGAGTGAAATTGGGAATATAGTATTATCCTGGTTTTGCCTGCACAGTTCTTTCATCTTGTGCCAGTTCCCGTCAATGTTAAGAAGTTTTCTTTCGCCAACATCCACTTTACACATGTTGAGCTAAGTCTTTGTTCAGAGCAATTTGTCGACACATCCAGCTCTTCCGATCGATCCGCGTTGAAACTGTTATGTCTAGTTTTTGTTTACTTTCTGCCCACTTGCCGCAAGAACATCTTGTCGTTGGTTAACGATGGATTGCTGGGGCCGTATGCTATGCTCCCCCAACAGGGGAGGGGTCCCCGTCCCGGTATGCTATGCTCCCCCCGACAGTTCTCGGGGAGAGGCCACGCCCACCGATAGCCGGGGATATCTCCCCTATCGCCTGCCGATCGGGGCTAGCCGGGGATACCGTAATTTCGTAGCCGCCGTACGCATAATTGACTGTCGCGCGCACAATTCTTCTATGGGTTGCGTACTGCAGTTTTAAGAATTGCTTATTTGTGAGTACATCACTACAAATATGATGTGCAGAATAAGGTTTAGTGTCGGACACCCTTAATCAACCCCCACCAAACTTTTTCAAATGATTTGGTCACGTTCGATCCCATGATTGTTATTTATAGCATCTTAAACAAAGATTTGGATGCTATGTTATATTTTTTACATTTTGCAGATTTTTAAGCTTCGTACTTGAGATTGTGAGCTATTACATTACGTGACACTATTTACCGTTTAGTTGGAGGCAGCCTGATGTAGCTGTTTTCCATCGATCAGCTAACTATATTTTATCGAAGATAGAACCAGAGATTTTTTCACATGAAAAATATTGGCTATCGAAGCCACTTGACTTATTCACAAACGTGAACGCAGTATTTAATTTCTACTGATCATATCGCACACTGACACAATTCTTATACGTAGAAAATAAAGGCAGTATCAAATGTCTTGCCAACCAACCATAATTAAGAAAACTTGAACGCAATATTAAAGGCAAATCGCACTCTGCGCTGGGAAAGGGGAACTGGAAGGATGAAACCGCGGGTTTTCCCAATTACAGAATGAGCTCCCCTAAAAACCTGTTAACTTTGAATTGAGATACTGTGTGCAGGCTTAAATATGCGATAAAAGGAACAAGTACAATACAATAAATGTTCCATTGCAGCTGGCGTCCACAGTTGGGGAGATTGAAGGACTAATTTATGTACAAGCTGACTCCAGTCATGAGTTAGGCCCTTCTCCTCCTCTAATACTCGTTTGTTTCGAGTTAGATCTCTAATTTGTTGAAGCATTTCCATTGGATTTCTTTTGCGGAACATGTTCGTAATGCTTGTAGGAAGCAAGTAAGAATCATACCTATATTTAATACAAGGAGGTACTTGCTCGCTGAATGAAGCAATCAGCAGCGGGGGAAATCTTTGTTTAAGTTCATCGCAAAATTAGATTGTTAGAAGATTATCTGCTTTTATTCTGACCACAGCAAGTTTTCGAGTTCTTCAAGATAAATCTCTGGCTAATCTAATACATTTCATAGAATGATGTATAGAATGATCTTCTTCGGATCATTACCAACTGGAGCGTGAAATGAGGTGGCTGATTAACTGTTAAAACATTGTCAGTAAATGAAGTAAACGATATACGTCACATTGAGCATTATTAAAACGCTTCAGTTGCTCTATGGAAGACAATGCTGATCATAGTCATAATATAGTGGACATCAAAGAATTCTAATGATTTTCTCCTTAACTTTCGAGGTAACATTGCTAATCTTCGATCCTGAGTATCCTATCCTGCATATGCACCCTAAGACTTTATAATTAGTAGCTTTTTAAGCCTAAAACTAATGTCTGGCAAGATGCCAAGTTCTTCGCGCCATGGATACTCTGCATGTCTGCATCCCCTGGGGAGCCCCGCGAGCATAGCATACGGCCGCTTTCGGGGCGGCCGCAGCCGGGGAGCTCCCCCAATAGGGGGCCCCTCCCTTGTTGGGGGAGCATAGCATACGGCCCCAGCTGTTCAAATCGCGATAGAGTGCACATTGGAGAGTTGTTTTATGTATGTAAGGGAGAAGGCTAAACGCAAGGCGAAATCTCGAATTGTGGTACAACCCGTTTCAACCTAATTGTTGTGAAGTTTACAATTTTTCAAATTAGATTTTCACCCTGTGATATTCATTATCAAAGCAGTAGAGTGACGCTGTTATCGGCTTTAGGTTGGGTTGGTACATTTTTCCTTTGCCGTATTGCCACCTGCAAACACTGCGATATTCACCTTGGCTCTGCAGTGGGAGATTGCAAGTCAAGAGGTTGCATTGAAGAAAGCTTGAGAGAGGTCCAAAATCATAAGAATTCGAGCGGCTTTAAATATTGCGGTGTTATAGCGTTGGTGTGGCGTGCGTCACCCGTCCGCTCTCATCCCCCGCACCCGTTCGATGCCGTCATCAGTTCGAGTGGAACATTCTCGAAGAACAAATTCAAGGGGTGGGGAGGGGGGAATGAATGAGAGTTGGACAGGGACCCTAAATTCGCCTGTTTCATTCTCGATTCCAGATGAAATCCGTTCTATTCAAAATCAATGGAAAATTTCATTTTCCAGGTTTGATATCGACGATCGTGTTGTGGTTTCTGGTGGCAAGCAAGGTATTGTGAGATTTATCGGCGAAACTGAATTCGCTCAAGGTATTTGGGCAGGAATTGAATTGGAACAGCCGTTAGGAAAGAACGATGGAAGTGTGCAGGTGTGTTGCCTAGATTCTGTTTTCATTTTTTAATATTTCATATTTTTCGTGTCATTTTGACAGTTCATTTCAGTGTAATAGGATTTAGAGGTCTCACTATTATTATGTACATATAACTTTTCCTGACTTTAGGGCAAAAGGTACTTCACATGCAAAACACCTTACGGCGTGTTCGTGCCGGCTTCTAAAACTCAGAGAGCACCATCACAAACACCTAATAGGGCTAAGGTAGATTTTTCATTTCCTATTTAGTGATGGACTTTTTGATAAATATTGTTTCGTAGCAGGTCGTGCAAACGAAAACATCCCTCCTACGGCAGAACCGAGGCTTGGGTGGAAGTCGTGAATCCCTTTCATCCATAGGAAGATCAAGTGTGGCTTCTTCGCGGTTCGGCGTTGTTCGTAAACCTCCACATAGTGTAGGTTTCTGCTTAATCTGTTTTTGCTGTTTTCTTTTTCTTCTTTCTTTTTCACTACATTGAAAAATGCTACTATTGATTGTTTGTTATATGTAGTTCATATATTTGAAAGAGCAACTGATCTTCTTTTTTTACTAACATCAAAAAAGTTGTTCAAGAGTCATGGAATGGACACAGATTTGAAAATTCGTTGCCCCTATAAGTATCATGTGATGATTTCAACTTGTTTCCTTTCCTTTTATCTCACCAAACTCAATTTCATAGATCTTTCTCGCTTGAATTTCCATCAAACCTCCCCCTTTCGCACGCAACTCGCATGCTCGGTAATCCTTCCCTTCCACTCTACTCGCCTATGGACCGAAAATGGTCGGTGGTATTTGCGTGGGAGTGCGAGAATATCTACGTAGCGGGTCTCATTTCATTAGCTAATTATGTTAGGAGATGGAAGTGCATAGCAACTAGGTAAGGGATAGATTTAGGCCCAACCTATTGTTGTGAAACTTTGTGCTGTAATGTTAATAGAAAAGAGCTAGGTGTCCAACTTTTATAGAAAGTAAGAAGTTGTTTCAGCAGCCACATGGTACGGAAAATGCCACAATCAAAGCGCTACAGGTACGTTCATATCCGTTTCATTTTTATTCTATTGAACTTGGCGGTGCTAGGGTGGAGATCGCAATCAGGATATTCATCCCAGCTCCTAGTAAGTGGAAATCATCTGTGCAAATTCAGGATGCGCTTCAAGAAAAGGAACGCCATTTAGAGCAGCTTATGCGTGAACGTGATATGGAACGATCCGACTTTGGTGTGATAGGAAACGGTGATCAGGCAGAAAAGGTTCGCTTTTCTTTTGAAGTTCTTTTCTTGCCAATTTTTTCAAAGAATTAGAATTTTGTTGAATTAGAAATTAGTTGCCTTTGTATATTGTGATATATAGAGCGGCATTATTGCACACATTGGGGCAGACATGTGTGGTGGAAATGTAGCCGCCATTGCACGACCTTGCAAGCCTCAGTTCCGCAATGACTTAGTTTCAGAGCGCCGTTTTGAGTTCATCAGTGCAGGTGTTTTTGCACATGTTTCATCAGCAACCTCAGTGTAGATAATATACCTAACATTACTAGATATGATATTCTTCTTTCTGAGTCCGAAGGTGACGTGGAGCTTCAAAAAACGCTACGGTGGATGCAGGCATGTTACGACCCTTCTTACTTGTATTGCAATGATGCACGTGCAATAAAAGCGCCGTAGACCTGGACTACATCAAGCTCTAGGCCCAACTTTTTTCATGTAACTGGGACAATCGACAAATTAATAAAGGGAAGATTTGTAAAACAAGAACCCCATGGTAGTTTTTGGGTTGGCTCATAACTGTATTAAAAATGCAGAAGAAGCGCAATTTATTACCAAAACTCTAATCACGACATTTTCAGATTGCAAAGCTTGAGTCAGAGAAAAGGAGCTTGAAAAACGAGCTGCTAGCAAAGGAAAAAATTATTGAAGATCTCAATTTTCGCCTAGAGGAAGAAGTTATAGCGAAAGAATGTCAAGTAGAGGAATGAAGCAGCAGCTCGTTCCAAATACGGTAAGAGGACCTGAATTTGTAGTACGTTTTTGCTTTAGTAGACTTGAAAAACATCTTTTACGAAGAGAGTCGTTTTAGGGCAAGCCTCGCTTTATCAAAGCGGTTTTTTGCATGTTGTATGGAACTCATGCGTCCAAGAACCAAGGTCCATTTTTTCTGAACGGCCACGAGAAGGCCAAAAAATGGTGAGGAAGCGATCCAGAGATCAATCCCCCCTGAAGACAAAATTTTTGCATTTTAGTTGGAGCTTCCAAATTTTCCCAAAATAGCACCATCGCAAAAACTAGATATCATATTCATTATCAGAGCCAACGGTGTTCATTAAACTCAGATTATTTAAAGGGCAATAGGCGGAAGAGGTTGTTGGAGCCATATGGACAAGTAAGTGTCATATCCGTGATTAAGAGCATTAGATATTCGCTTAACATAAAAGTTTGGGAAAAATGAGATTTTGAGCGCAAGCTTCGAGAATTGGTCATACGACAGGCCGGTCGTAGCCTCATTGGTGTACTCCCAGCCACATGGAATAATTTCCTTGTGATCCATCTCCAAATAATACGGAATTCCACCTGCAGAAAAGACAAATGGACAACCCAATGGGTGATAGCCCCCTATAACACCCGACAGATTCTTCTCTCCTTCAACTCATGATATATGTATTGGGTCCTTGGCTACTCCACTCGTAGGGCCTCATCTCCATAGCTGGAGCGATTATAAAGGAAATGACCGTGGGGTGTTTCACCTGAGTTTCGCTCAGCACTTCTTCAAGTCGCCCGCCGGCGTGCATGACGACCTGTGGCCCATGGTCATCTCTTTTTCGAAGTTAGGTCGAAATCTCAATTTTCGTCGAAATTTTTGCCTGTAGGGGTAAATCGAGGTGCTGATCATGGATATGGCGTTATTTCTTGGCGTCGGCGCCATTTGACGATAGTTTGGCGCTACAGATTTATTCTGCCAGTTTTTGATAGTAAACCCATTGGCAGGGGCTGCTGATGGTCCTGAATTGTGAATATAGTGACGGCGGTATATTTGACGTTGAAGCAATTTGGCGCTCATTTGGAGGTGACAATCGAAAATGCAAAAGCTTTGTCATGGAGTGGAGTCGAACCACAAAGTCCTCCTACTTCAAGTCCATCACGCTATCCACTAGACCACCAAACCGCTACAACCTTTTTTGGCCATCAGTAACGTTCAGCGAAAAATGAAACACAGATTTGTTGCCCACGCAGAGCCCCTACAGCATGCAAAAAGCAGTTTTGGAAAAGCCCGGCTTGCACATTAAGACCTCCCTTGCTAGATGTTGAGGTATTGGATTTTAGTATTGGATTTTTTCAGCTGATTATCGCTTTTGAGACTATGGTGTGTTCAGGCTGACGAGAATCCCATATTCAATCAAACTGACTTCACCGGCTGTTGAATCTTTGGACACGCACGCAGCACTGACAAGTGAGATTGCTAGTCTCAAAAAAGAGCTGGAAGGAGAAAGAGAAAAGCATAAACATCTGTTGGAGTCAGAAAAAGCGAACAACGAGGATAAAGAACAGCTTCTGGAAGCGTTACGTGCAGAATTAGAAGTGGTGAGAGTATCGGAATGTTACCTTTGTTTTAATCCAGTAGACTACTTAAATGTGCAGTTTGTCTTGGAAATGGAAGTTATATATAATTAACACATTGACGATAGCGCGGGGTACATATGTCCCGCGTTTACGCTCGGAGGGGCTCGTTCTATTATGTCTCTATCACCTTCCAGAGTGCTCTGTATGCATTATCGGCTGCAGAAAACAGTACGCGTTTCATTGATAATGAAGTTATTGGTGGAGTAGTCACTTTGATGAACAATTTCAAAAAGGTTGCTATGCGCACTACACGCGTCGATTGTAGTTATAGTCAACAGGATCGTAGCTGTCATCAGTAGCGCTCTTGAGAACAAAGTAATAGTTCGAAGTAAACTTCCAGAAAAGTGAATCAGAAAACAAAGGACGCCTATAAGTACGCCTGCATACACGGGCATGCAAAACGCACACCATTGGTTTGTCGAATAATCTCGTGCCGAAGAGGACAGACTTGCCACAGACTCCCTGAGGACAGGGCTTGCTAATTAGGAATGGTTCGCGATTTGCAGGACTCCGCAATAGTTTCTGTGGGAACAGGGCTTGCTAGTAGAGAATGGACCGCGCTAGGTGGTGTTCGTGCTGCAGGTCTCATAAAAATGGGTGATTAATCATAATCATATAGAACCTATAGTGGAACGAGGTTAGGGTAAAAAAGGAAGATCAATGGGAGCAGGTGCCAGGTTGTTCTTTTAATTTTGAATAGGTTATTTCAAAGGCGTGCCCCAGAAACGCGAACTGGTGTGGTTTTTGGTACGAAATATAAGTGATGCTGCATAATGGGCCAGCAGTGAAGAAAAAGGAAAAGAGTCGATGACGGCTAAAGTTAAGGGCTTGCTCATCTTTCTAATGCTGCTGTGCTAAGAAAGTGAGCGCGTAGGGGAGAGAACACGTGAGAGTGCCTGACATCAGCCTGCGCCACGGCGGCGCACCGATGCACCGCAGCAGAATAACTTGCCTAAAGCTCTAACGCACTGTCGGATGTAATATCCAATAGTATATGTAATTGCTGAGGGTGTCCTCATCTGTGGTTGTCCCTGCGAGCTCCACCTGTATGTGAACGAAGGGGAATCGCTCGCGCAATTTTGCGCTGGGTTGTGCCCCATTGACCCGAGGATGAGCCAAGTAACCTAATCGTAGGGTACCGAAAACTTTTTCTGAACCCCACTGTGATTCTACTTTCGTATGAATCTTCCAAACACATTTTGAATAAGCTTCATTAGCAAAGCGATCGTGCGCTTAAACAGTTCTTACTCAAAAATTTTTTCATTGGTTTCAAAGCAGCGGCAGGTCGTTTGTGGAATATGTGAGGGTAGGTGGGTCAATAGTGGGTGTAAGGAAGGATTGCTTTTTTCAACGAGGCAAAAAAAGTGTTCCGTTCTTTCAGACCAAGGAACTCCTCACTAATGAGCACGCTGCTAAGGAGAAACAGCTGGTTGATGCGAACGCTGCGATAGAAGAGAAGAGTAAACTCCTGGAAGCAGCAGAGCAGTCGTCTCAAGCAGCTCACAAAGAGCTGGAGAAGGTCACAGGTTGGCAGTTGCTTTTTCTTTTCTCTCTAGTTACGGCTCGCGGAGTAAATAGATAGTGTGACAGTCCTAGTATTAGTACTTGTTCCGGGTACAGATTGGGGGAGGGGGTGGAGGTGGAGGCAGGGTCCAACCTTACGTTGGTACAAGTACCAACGGGGTGGGGGTCGTAGTTTGTTGAAGTTTGTGGTGGGAGGGGTCGTACTTGTTTCGGTAGCACGAAATTACATGTGATGAGGTGAGAGCGCGCGGGAGAAAATTTGCCGTTTCAGCGTGCGTATATACCCCCTCTAGAAAAGTGTTGTAGTGGAAATATAGGTGAAAAAGGGAAAAGTAAAGGGAAATATAGAGGAATTTTGCGGTTTTCATGGTAGTTATATACCCCCCGCTCGACCGCTCGACGGTGTTTTTTGTGGGAAAAATAAGTTTGAAGGAAGGGGTCGTATGAAATCTGTCGTGAAGGAAGGGAGTCTGTAAAAAATTTTGCAAAAAGTCTCTAACGATAGGACCGCCCCTGGGGGAGGTACACAGTTTTGAACGGAGGGAGGTTGGCAATCCGGATTCATTAAGGAAAATCGGGCTTTCCATCATAATGTGTCGGCTAGTTGGTACAATATTTGCTGGTGGAACAAAAACGCTTGTCAACTCCTCGGAAGTAACGCAAATTTTGTGTTCATTCGAATGCATTGGCGATATTGAATAGAGCTCAAATGCATGGCGTATGCCAAGCGTATAGATAACTGCCAACCCATTCATCAATTATTTCTACTCTTTAAAGCTTGAGTTTTTCAATTTTGAGACTTTCATATTGTTTCAGCTGAACTTCAAGCAACGCTGAACAAGGTGAAGGAGCAAAGTGAGTTGGTGGAGAAGCTCGCAAACAGCAAGGAGTCAGGTGATGCAGTGCTAACGCAGAGATTGACAGCCCTCGAAAAGGAGTTAGAAATGAAAACCAACGATTCGCTGTCTAAGGAACAAGAGAAGAAGTCTCTGGAAGAAAATGTTAGAACCCTGGAACAGCAGCTTAGTGAGATAAGGGGCTCTTTGGAAGCAGTTCAGCAGGAAAAGACGTCAATGGAAGGGGCTTTGGAAACTCTGAAGAACGAAGAAAGCTGAAGTCGATGGACGTCTAACTGAAGAGCAAAAGAAGAGTGAAGCGGTTCTCAACGAGCAATTGCAAAAGATCAAAGCGATTACTGTGAGAAAGAGGCGGCCGAAGCGGCTCTGGGTGATGCCAAAAATGCGAACGAATCGTTGATGGCGGAAAAGAATGAGCTGGAAGCAAGGCTAGCGACATTCAAGGAGAGCAGTGATGCTGCTTGTAAAGAGGCTCAAGAACGTTGCTTAGCGATGGAGGAGAATCTCAAGAAGGTTGAGGCTGAGGTGAGCTAAGGTTTATTTTTATGATTCGTTAGATTTTTGTTCGAATTTTTTTGTCAAAGAGGTGCATGGTTATTGTCAAAACGAGCCGGCTGAGGCGGATTTTTTCGTCAGTTCTTGTGGCAACTTTCACATTGCATGTAGAGGTGAAAAACAGCAATAATAACAAATCAAGTTCACGGCAACATTATTAATGCAGAAACTTACGAAATAACATAACTTACGGAAGTGAGAATACGGAAAATTATGTATAAAGGGGGGGGGGGTGACATAAGAGGGATATGAACATTAGTTGGATTTGCACTGACCATGAGTCATAGAGAAGGTCAATGTCAGCTGAATGACTATCGATGCGTCCTTTATCGAACAAAGGTTTTTTTTGTGGATCATTTAAATGTCGGACATCATGAATGCATCCGAATTTACTTGCATCAGTGATCAGATCGATTGATTTGCCTCCAGAGAGGCGAGCTATACTGTGCTTTTTGCTTGTTTCTATTTTCTTGAACAATTTCGATGTCTTTCTTGACCTTTTTACAAGTTGTATGGCTTGGCTGGTTCAAGTGGGCAGGGTTCAGCTCCCATAATGGTGTTTTTGCAAAGCCGCTACCTGACACTTGCCATTTGAGTGGGTGGAGGGGGGGGGGTGATATTGAATATTAAAAATGCTGTTTGCCCCTTTTATTTCGGAAACTCATTCCTTTCCAGCATAATGCATCTTTAAATGCCGTGAAGACAGCAAATGAAGATTTGATGGCAAAATGCGCAGAGTTGGAGTTGAAGCTGTCGACAATGGAGAAAAACCAGTTGGAAGAGAAAGAACTGTAAGTTTGTCCGCTTATGTCATAGAAGGGAGTAGGACGAAGTGAAAAGGAAATTATGATTAGAAGGAAGTTATGTTGCAGTAGCGTCAGCAATTCCATAGGAATGAACGGTTTTCCAGGCTCAAGAACAAGGAGGGTGAACTCCAAAATGCTGAACAGGAATTGAAGCGATTGGGAGAAGAAGTCACGGCGTAAGAGATTTGATATATTTACTTGTTTATTAGGGCGACATTGGTCACAAGCTCAAGTCACCTCGGAGCAGGGTCAACCCTACGTTGTTACTAGTAACAACGGGGGGTCGTACTTGGTTGAGTTTGTAGGAGGGGGGTCGTACCCGTTTCAGTCGCTTGAAATCACATGTGAGTTTGAGGTGAAAGTGAAGTTTTATGGGTAGGTAGGCTGGGTGAGTTGAGGGGCGCAGGAAAAAAAAATTCGCCGTTTCAGCGCGCGTATATATACCAAGAATTTGCGAACTGGAAATATTGGAGAATAAGGAGGTGGTATACTATACACCCCCTTCCCCGCTCGACGGCATTTTTGGAGGAAAAAGTGGGCGGAGTTTGGTGGGTTGAGTGGTATCAGAATTAAATACTATAGAGACGATGATGGTGGTCGAGGTGTGGAAAAGGGGGTCGTATCAAATCCACCTTGGGGGAGGGGGTCGTAAAAATTTTTCAAAAAGTAACAACGATAGGGTTGACCCTGCTGAGAGCTGAAACAGCCGATGAAAGAGTATGTGCTAGGATGCAATGAGTCGCCTGTCAGCATTTGCGAGTTCATTTCACATCTGGGACTTCGACGATTTTGCAAATCAAAATTATTGGCGGACGCAGTAGAACATTGAAGGTGTAAAATCAAAATGCGTAGTTATGGCGCTGAAAATTAAAGATGGATGGGGGTGCGAAATTAAACTTTGAAGGAAGCGAGAGGATGTAGAAGTTTTTCTGCATGTGGACGAGTTCACGACACAAGAAAAGTGAGCGACGAGACGAGAGAGCATAGAGGCAAGCGCAGCTCAGATACCAATGTAGCTTCACTCAGTAACCAGGGTCCACGTAGGAATCAGTGCAAGTGAAAAATTAGGCAAGAGGGGTTTACTTGTGGCGTTTGTTGTGAAAATTTGTTTTGCTCAGCGGTCTACTTTGGATCTCTGTACCCATTTTCGAGGGCACTATTCACTGTGGTTGAGGAAAATGCTTTTTGAGTTTGGGAGACTGCGTGTAGTATATGCTCGCAGTCTAGCGATCTATGACAGTTAAAAACCACTCGGCCCACTCGCTATTTAGCCTTTGAAACCTTTCCCAGCTACGGCGAAGAATTAGTTCTGTTATTGCCTGCCTAACATTTTTTTTCATGTCAGTTGCGATTTTTCACTTTGATAATACAAGAATCGAATTTATCCCATGTTTCAATCTCTACCTGAGGAATGATTCAGACTGACTGCAAAGCTCAATGCTGTTACAAAAGATCATGAAGCAGCCGTTGCAAGTAAAGCTCAAGTTGAAGAAGAGCTTCGCAAGCAGACAAGCGCTCTCAATACACTTCAGAATACTGTAGGTTCTTATTACATTGATTTCATCAAAAATAGGTTTGCTATTCGGTTTCCAGGTTAATGCTTCGAATATGGATCAGAGTGCTATTTCGAAAGAATTGGCGAGCGCGACAACTTTATGTGCCGAACGATTGGCTGAGAACAACAAACTTCAAGAGACTGTTCAGAGGTGGCTCTTAGATTTCCCTCTGTCAAAAACTGAGCAGGCTGCGTTCAACTTGGGTCATTCATGGTGTTGATAAAAGCGCGGCCAATTAAGCCTGCTTCTGAGGAGCTCTTCACACAGCCACTTTCTCCCTTTCGTTCACTTTTAGTCCTCCTCACTTGTTGTAACTATTTTTTACTTGCAACCTTCCCTTCAATTTCCACAAAAAAAAAATGGAAAATGAACCCTTGCCAAGTTTTTGGCTTTTTTGGATGCCGAAATCTTACATTTCCTGCCTCCCAAAAATTCTTTTTGAGAAGTTCTTCTACTTCTCCAAATAATGCTTCCTTTCTGATCATTACGTTCATCTTTCTTATTTAGTAAACACCCATCTGGCAATGGTGAGGTGTTTGATAAATTTGATGAAAAAGAAATCTTTCCTCACACTTAGGACTATTTCATTTCAGCCTTGAAGCAAAAATCCAGTCTATGGAGCTTGCAAACACAGAGATTGCCGCTAAGCTGAAAAACACCGAGGAGCGCCTCAACGATCTGGCCAAGCAGAAAGAGAATGCTGTAACAGAGGTAACTAGTAAGCATCTGTAAGACATTAATGTTTGAGAAGTAGCTGTCGACCAGATTTCTTGAATAGAACTTGCTTTCGGGTAGTGCATTGAAAGTTGTTATCAAATGAGTTTTACATGTACGGCTATTCATTTTCTAAAAGTTGGAGGAAAGAGTAGTTTATAATTCTTGCCTAATCACGCTGATATCTGGCAGGTTGCTTGTTTTGAAATGAAAGGTGTTGCCTTTAATAATTTTTGAAACTTCTAGCAGTTTCTATATTACAGTTGGAGCGTTCACGAGTGCAAGAGACCGAGAGACGTTCCGAATTGGAAAAAGTTGTGGCCGACAAATCAGAAGAGGTTGCATCGCTACAACGGGACATTGAACAGTAATTTTTCTCCCTCTTTTTTACCTTTGCCATGACGCAATAAGTTGACGCCTACCCAAAAGTTTTACACTGGAGTGACTGGTGCTTAAATTGAAATTGACGCTGAAACGAAATACTGTACCTGAATGAGGTCGTTCGATGTATTGCGGAGGCTTGGCTTTCATATTTTGAATTTTTTTAGGCTCAACTCCAAGTCTGCAGAGTTCAGATGGTAGGGATTGTTCGGGGATACACAAGATTGTCTGAAAGGGATGTCGAGCGTGTTCAGGTGCGTAGAAGTGGTACTTTATTTGATACAGTTGCAATGTTAATAGTGTGACGTTTCTTTGATTTATTTTAGGCGTTTCTTCCGTGTGATTCAATATACGCCGTCTCCAACGTTTTCCAAATGCATTAATTTTTAAGAGGGACCTTGTTACGGCTGCAAAGGAGGCTGCAGAAACCCAGGTGGCAACAATGACGTCGAAGATTCAAGAATTGGAACAGAAGCTGGTTGATTTGCAGCATGCAATGTAAGGCGCCTATTCATGAATTCCACTTTTCGATATTTGTTCTAAAGGCAATCCAGTACATTGGTGTGGCTATTGCCAGAAATGAGCAGGGTGGACTGCACGAAGGGAAAAAAAAAGTCAGAAAAAGCTGAAAGCAGTGGACGAGTACAGGATTTTTTGGTGACTGTGCTAGGACAAGAACGTTGGGTTGCGAAGAGAAAGAGTAGTGTTACTGGAATAGCTGAGACGAGACAATTGACAGGCGTAAAGTCACTCAGCAGCAACTGACTTTTAACTTAGAGTTAGGTCAAGCAAGGAGGTAGATACCGTGCATAATTTTTGGAGCAGCAGGAGAGGCGACTTTGAGCACTTAGTTTGCGGATAGACTCCACTTAGCTAGGTGTATGCACAGAATTCATCGTTTAAATGTGTCTTTAGGAGGCGACACGCATGTCTGCATAGAAGAGGTATATATGGGGTGGAAAATTTTTTTCTTAGTCTTTCAGGGAAGTGAGAGCAGAGAAGAAAGATGGGCGATTGAAGCACAAGGTCAAGTTGCATTGGGCGAGCTGTCAGACGTAATGAGAGGAATTATCAGGTACTGGCGTTTACTGTTCTACTTTGTAAAAATTGTAGGATATTTGTGAAAGTCTTAATTTGATGTTAGTGACATTGAGTAATATGATGATCATTTCAGCTGTCAAATGACTGAAAGAACTAACGTAGTAGAGTTGGCTCGTGTGAAGTGTGACTTTCAAGAGACCAAAGTTACGCGCCGATGGTCGAGTTTGCAATTTTTCATTTTTTTTTGGTTTTCGTACATATGTTTGAATGTTGGGTGAAAGTGGTGTAGTGGCAGTGGCGCAGATTACGCGCGCGCAGTCATATACGGGCTTAGCGTCATGCTGGTCAAAATTAGCTTCCATTCCTCCAGGGTTTGAGTATTGGAACCGATTGGATTGTTGAAGTAGGATAAAAAAAAACTTTGTTGAAAACATCCGGCCTGGCCCCCGCACCAGTCCTTGGTATAGGATATCGTCATGATGTCAAGTAGTGGCGCGGGACGAGTCATGTTGATCGAGCTAATTAATCCATTCAGTTCTGTTCCATAATCTGAAGCTGAAGTGTCGAATGGGCCAATGCGGTGAGTTGGGTGGAATCGGTTCGACTGGATTTTCTAAAGCGCGTCCAAAAAGGGATACCTCATTAAGGAGGAAACAATTAGTGCGAGCACAAGGAGTGTCATGGGCCATGCGTGTACTCATTGCCGATTGGGTTCCATTGGTAGATATGGTGCAAGACGTATAAAACTATAGCGAAAAGCAATTAGCTTGCACGTTCCACGAGAGAGAACCAAGGCACAAAACACCACACGACCAAAAACCAAGAAAGCAATGTTAGTACTTGTTCATGTTTCTTAATTTCATGTTGTCTGACTCGGCTTGAATTTAAAGCCAATGGTTGTTTTCAGAGCCGACCGAATAAAATCTGAGTTTGAACAGCTACGAAAGGAAGACAGTGATCTGAAAGAGAAGCTCGAATCGTGTTTTGGCAGAAAAAGAGGATTTGGTTAGTCCCTTTCGCTCAATCTGGAGGTTTGGATGTGGGATTATGTTTGCCGTCTAGCAAAGGTGATGTAGGAGTAAATTGTGGGCGAGGCCGTGGACGTCGCTATATAGGATGATATAAGCCGGATTTGAAGTCAAAAATCGCCGATAAAATTCAATGTCAGGGGAACAAAAAAGATGGGTTAAGAAGGTGCCCCCCCCAAGCGCTAAAAGATTCCTCTGGTTGCTCAGAAGTGTCATGGCGGCCGCGGTTGATGAATGGATGGAGGGGCAATGCATGTTGGATGGAGAGAATGCCGTCTATCGTTGTCGTTGATTGACATCAAGGGTGCAGTTTTGCAAAGGCAATTGCATAGATTTGAGTATCTATAATTGCACATGGTGAAGAGGATGTGGCGAGCAAAGGCTTACAAAATGACAGTGATCTTTAGAGCTCGCTTTGAAGCTAGCCTCTAGGATTCGTGGCTTCTGTGAATCGGAAATAGGTTTTTTGTAAAATACTGTTTCTGTAACCAAATAGATAGTAGGAATGGGGCCAGGAAAAAAGCGAAATAGTGTCGGGTGAATGGATACCATCTAGGGAGAGTAACTGTGTCCGTGAAGGTTAATTGTCAAGAAAGGTGTTTACTAGATGACTTTAATTTCAAAAGGTGGTTACTGATGACTTAATCAAGAGTGTTCTTCACTCCCAGTAACTTTTACCTATCAGCAGTCTTTTTTCCTGTCGAGCATCGCGTAGAATTTCTGAACATTATGCGCCAAAAAACTACAACTGGGATAAAATTGTTTATTGGGCTGTTTTGAGAGGATTAGTGATTAAAATCTATGCGCGCGATACCGAAATCTATGAAAACGTTCGAGCGCGTCACTTCATCTTTCACACACTCTAGACAATGGATTTATTTGCTTGAGCTTTTATTGTTTCTGTCCCTAGATTATCAATATGAATGACTTTGTGGTCTTGATGTTTGAAGAGAGAGTTAATATAGAAAGCTAAGCTGTCCTATTGCTTATTAGAGCCCTGAATTTTGTTTGATTTTCGCATAAGATGGTTAATTCTTGGTGTGGGAGGTCTGTCATTTCTTAGGGAACAGTGCATAAAAATGAGCTGGGAGGATTTTGAGGGTTGTAGATTTCAAATGCCTCATTGGATATAATTACTTACTGTGTTCAGTGAGTTCTCAGTTCGAATCAAGATAAGCAAGGCCGAGGAAGCTCCAATTACTACAAGAGGAATTAGCAGCAGCAGCTAACCAGACTGATCACAGAACAGTCAAGAGAGAAGAGAAGTAGGCTAAACCAGCGGTTTCAACTCCCAAGATAAAGGTTTAGCCATTCAAGTCTCCTCGCTGAAATGGAAGCACTGAAAAAGACGATAGCAGCTGAAACGGCGTCGAAGCAAACGGCCACTGAAGAGATGTCTATAGCGAAACAGCAAATACAGCAGCTGGCAGAAGAGGTGAGTTCCAAGTCTATTCCGCATTTTTCTTGGCGAACGGTGCCACATCTTGTTCTTACCAATGTTGGTCGAGACATTCGCATATCAAGTAGCGGCTGATCACGCGACGAGTCCTTACGATATAAATCCTATAACCAGATATGGTAGTAACCGTGATATGCCTCCCATGTTACATGAAGAGAGGTGCGAACCGGTGCGCGCTAATTTACTCAGTGATGGATTCCAGGTTAGGCCTCAGGTCTTTATGTGAGGTACTTTTTTTGGCTCCATTTTAGAAACGATCTTTGGAAGAGCAGCTAAAGAAGACGATGAGTGATGAAGCAGAGATGAAGGAAAAGCTTTCGAATCTCGAGCGAGATAAGGTGTTTTTTGAAGTTGTTTGATTATGCTGAAGTATTCTCACTTCGTGAGCAGAAATGCCTTTTTTCTTTATCCTGACAAAGAAGCTATATGAGTATGAATTTGAGGAGGCCATACAAAGGCAGCATGAAGGTTTCAAGGAGGCCATGCAAAGGCAGCATGAAGATTTGAAGGAGGCCATGCAAAAGCAGCATGAAGATGAGCTTGAAATTGGTACGGACTCAGTTACAGCAGCAAGAAGGAACATCCTCACAAACACAACAACAGGTAAGCATGTTTCCTTGAGATTTTGACAATGATGGAACTAGCTTGTGATTGAACACACAAAGTCAACATTTGGGGGGTGGAGTTGACAGTGGCTAGAAGTAGATATCACTGTCAGTTCCGTCAGTCGAATCAATCAAATGGTAGACAGCTCTACCATTCTGAAATCATATGTTTTAGGCAAGCAACGAGGTCGCAGAAGCGTTGGAAAAAGTTCGATCGGCTGAGGAGACCAAATTAGCTGTGGAGAAGGTTATGGAACAACTGAAGTCTGAATTAGCTGAGAAGCAAAGAGAGGTAAAGCGATGCCTAAGAATACGACGATGTTTTAGGCTATTTTTGTGCAGCCTGTAAAAATGTTGTCGGTTTTTCCATTTTTCAAGTTAAATCAGTCATTGAGCAGGCAACATGGCTGATTGTTGAAAAGTCTATGTCAGAACTGAAAAAAAGACGAAATTTGTCACCCTGCAGACTTCAGTATGTTCAAGGAACTCTATAAAATTTCCACTTTTTGAAGGTCACTTCTCTTCGGTTAATAGAAGCGAACGCGAACGTGATGGTTTCTGAGGCGAAGCAGAAGATGTAGGTTCCCTTTTTTCTTGTTTCCTCATGCTTTTTCTCCTTCCTTTTCAGTTCTATTGCAAAAAATGTTTACCTCTTGTTTTTTCATTTTGTCGATTAAATTATCATTTTATTTGAATGTGGTGATTATTGCACTGTACTTGTCTTTATCCAGTCTTAAATAGTTTCAATTTTGAAAAGTAGCTGTCAGTGTAAAATCTTAGCTCATACAATTCAGTGATCTTTTCAATGAACTCGAGCAAGATTGGCAGAAGAAGCAGTTACGACTTTGTGAGAAGATCGATGAGTTAACTATTGAATTGGAACAGGCCAAGAACAGAACTCAAAGCGAGGAGGTGAATTCGTTGAAAAGAGAGGTGAGTGTCTTTGCTTAAACTATGTTTGGAAATGGTTATCGCTCTGAAAAGGAGGTTTTAGTTTACAATATAGTTTCATCGCGCTGCAACCGCGCGCTTCTTTCCCGTTTAATGCGGCAATGGCTCAATGGTAGTATTCTTTATATGCTCGAAGTCGTACTCGTTGTATTATTTTTTGTGCAATTTGTATTGCTGTGTTGTGTTGGGTGGAAATGATTGTATTTACTATGTTATTCTAGCTTGCCTTTACCAATTCAATCATTGCCGATCAAAGGAGGAAGGAAGTGAAGCTGCAAGAAGAGATTGAAGCTCTCAAAAGTTTCTCAGCTGATTCGTACGTTTTATGCATGGTTTCCGAAGATATTTACATACAGTGCGCGTCAATTGTATATGCCACCCCCTGATTTTTTCAGTTTTCTGACTTATTTGGAAATTTCGTAAATCGGCATAGCAACCATCGTTTTCGGCGTGTCGGAAAACTAAGAATGGTGTTGTTTGATTTTGGTTAACGCGTGGATTTGAATTGCTCTGTTCTTTTGAAGAAAATGGGCCGCGTCAATTGCTTATGCCATCCTAAAAGTTTCTTCAGAATTTCTCATGTCTCTAACGCTATTCAGCTACGGTGTGCATGCATACAAATGAGGAAATCCTCCACTTATGCAATGCACACAAATGGTGGAGCATTTATAACTGATTAGTTCGGAATATTAGCCCTATACTGGACGGTAGCAGCATGAAAACGCTTTATCAGAGAAAGTGCTGTGTGCTCACTTGCGATCGCTCCTGCTGCTTATTGTAGAACTCATCGAGGAGTGTATCCAGGCAAAACTGGGAAATTGAAGTGCTCAAGGAGCTCTTAAATTCTCATTTTCCCGCTTCGAATCCGTGGTCAACTTTATTTGTGGTCTTGGCTCCCTGCGAAGCTCGAAGCGTTCACGCTCACAAAGTCTCTTTTTAGAGAGAACATGACTCGTACCTACTACCGTCTGGTACCCATCACTGAACTCGATCGAAGTTTTCTTATCAAGGCGATGCAATGATGGCCCATGCCACCACTTCGGTGTCCCGTTCAAGTTACAACTGGCCCATGTCATCATTTTCGCTCGCTCGGTACGAAAATTTTTCCAGAGAGAATCCGACAAAGTTCGGCGATGGGTACTACGCGGATTGTGAGTGCAACTCATATTCTCTCTGAACAGAGACTTTGTGAGCGTGAACGCTTCGAGCTTCGCGGGAGCCGAGACCACAAATAAAGTTGACCACGGATTCGAAGCGGGGAAAATGAGAATTTAAGAGCTCCTTGAGCACTTCAATTTCCCCAGTTTTGCCTGGATACACTCCTCGATGAGTTCTACAATAAGCAGCAGGAGCGATCGCAAGAGTGAGCACAGCACTTTCTGATAAAGCGTTTTCATGCTGCTACCGTCCAGTATTAGGGCTAATATTCCGAACTAATTAGTTATAAATGCTCCACCATTTGTGTGCATTGCATAAGTCGAGGATTTCCTCATTTGTATTACATGCACACCGTAGCTGAATAGCGTTAGAGACATGAGAAATTCTGAAGAAACTTTAGGATGGCATAAGCAATTTGACGCGGCCCATTTTCTTCAAAAGAACAGAGCAATTCAAATCCACGCGTTAACCAAAATCAAACAACACCATTCTAGTTTTCCGACACGCCGAAAACGATGGTTGCTATGCCGATTTACGAAATTTCCAAATAAGTCAGAAAACTGAAAAAATCAGGGGGTGGCATATACAATTGACGCGCACTGTATTTAACGACGTAGTTCGAGTATATAACAATAATTTTTTTTCAGAGTGAATGTGCCACTAATGTCGGCTGCGAATCGTGAAGTGAAGCCAGAGAATGTACTGTGATATTTGTGAAACGTTTGACCAACATGAGACGGAGGTAGGTCTAGTAGTACTAAGGATCAGAATATTAGGTGGAACAGGGTAACTCATCCATTCCGAATTCTGGTCAGGCCCAGGAGGTGGCTCTTCTGGCATATCGTTTTGTCTGAACA